ATGCAGTTGGATTTTTGCCGAAAGGAAAAACAGATACAGAAGATGCTGTAATACTAGAGACAAGTCTCAACCCATATTCTCCCGGCTCCACTGGATCACACGTAGACTTGAAAACGTATTCTAAAACGCCAGATTGGTTGATGATCTACATGGTAATACCGGGAAAGACGTTCCAACAAATTGATAAGGATAATGGAGCAGCGACTCCTGATACAATTGTTGGACCCAAGATAAGGGCAATGATGGAATCAATAGGGTAATTATTTAATGAACGTTATACAATATAAACGTGTATATGTTTGTAAATAGTTATTACGATAATTAACGACTTGTTACTTTACCTTTATTCTAGAATTCCTACCCCCGAAAACCCAACGCCATTTGTTCCAACAATAGTAGACGAGGAACCGCTCTCGAGCAGTAAATAAATTTAAATTTAGAAAAAAGTGGTTTATTATGCTAATCTGCTTATTATTTAAATATCGTTTACCTGTAATAATAAAGGACATTTAATAGGCTAGACAGAAGAAAAAAAGGATTTGTATAATATTTGTTAATTGGGCATGTCAAAGAATATTGGGAATAATGTTATCGATTAGAATAAATACTGTACAATATTTGCTCAATAATGTAATGCAATTTCCCGGTAACAATGATTATTTGGTATCACATTAATTGGCGTAATAAATATATGAGTTTTCCTATTACAAAAAAAAACCAACCTTTTATCAAAATGTTTATGGTGTGCTTCCTTACTTGCCATATTTAAGTAATTACATTAAACTTTAAATTTTATATTTTCTCTGGCCTATTTTTAATATATTTCTCTTGCCGACTTTTTATAAACAGGGTAACTAAGATAAGAATTTTAAAACAAATTATAGTCGTGGCGGTTCTGAATAAAAACTGGTGCCATTGCAATATACTTTTTTATCGCAAACAACAATTTTATCTTAGTTATAGTTTTACATTCAAACAAAAGTTGGCACCATACTTTGTGTTTTTTATTTTGCAAGACTTCCAATTGGCCGTTTGTGTTGTTTACATCATCGAGCTAGAAACTGGGTTCTTTACAAAGTATATCTACATCCACCTCCAGTCCCTAGAATTAGAACTAATGAAAATATAATGAGTAAATGCATCATCGTAGTTATTAGTTATTGTTGAACGTTCACAGCAGACCGTCCACCGTACGCCAGGGCTGGGTACCTGACTGGCGACTTTCGCAAGCTGTGGCCACGACGCGCTTTCAATTAAAATAACCAGTGTATCTTATTCACCACACCCGAGGTCATATGCACTCAGTACGGCTTTCAGTAACGGAGAGAACGTTCACAGCACAAGCTGCGGCCACGAAGCGCTTTCAATCTCCGATTTACACCTAAGTGGCAGCGTAACTTTGGATACGTAAAAACTTAACAATTACTCAGTGAAAACTCACCTCCGTCTATTAGCTTTCATACCCGCTTCTTGTAATATATTAAGCACCATCTTGTTCGAAATTTTGTTCCCACTTCTGCAGTATTTGACATCCTAGAAATTTGAATATTAGATTTTGAGAACTGTTTCCAGTAACTAAAAAAAAATAATGTTGTTTATGTAGTTTTTGTCAATATCATGTTTAAAATCCGTTACCTTCAAGAGAAATGTTATTGTCCGGAACAAAGCGAAGCATTATTACTCTCTACTGATCTCGACTAATGATTGTGATGATGACGACGTTTTTATTATCTTCTCTGTCCCGCACATGATCTCGACCAGTGATTGTGATTCATGATGATGACGTTATTAACGAATATTTTTAACGACGGATATTTAATATTGGGCGTCGATTTGATTTATACAAATCGTGACGTAATCGCCAAATTCGGAAGGTATCGGTATAATTTAGTTAGTCTCCTGCTGCCAAAAGCGGGGTCATTTTTCTATAACTTAAAGTATACAGTACTACATATAAATATACGTATAAGTATTCGTATAAGTATAAATATAAGTATAGGTATAGGTATAAAGTAAGTATAAAGTAAGTATAAAGTAAGTATAAAGTAAGTATAAAGTATACATTAATTTAAATATATTTTACATTTGATAGGTTCGTCTTTATTAAACAAATGCTCTTGGGAACGAAAAAATTACTCCAATGTTCGCTGCACTTTCTTCAGGTGATTGATTGTTCAACTCTGGAAATTCTTTGTCGATCACTGTTTGCAAACTTCCTATTTCGGAAAAATAAAAAATTTCTCACACTATATTCGATTCCGTTACTTCCAATAGCACTAATAATAGTATCGTCATTATTATGCTGGATTGCTTTTGCATAAACATTACAATTCAAATAGTGCTAATCATCTAATACATATAAGACTACAGTTGCCTCGGTTTCCCCAAAATCTGTGTTATGCATATAGATCAAACTCATAATTGAGGCTGCCAAAATCTAAAAAGTATGTAGGTATTATGCACCTCAATAAGTTAACGAACAAAATTTCCCTCCAATAAATCAATCCTATTAGTATTAGACAATGTGTGCTCACTGTCACAGAACACACTAATATACGTACAATGACCTGAGATTTCTCGTCTCAATAGCAGTTATAGATCTCATTGTTGATAATAATTCGAAATCTTAATATCCCATTTTTCTCAAAAACAAATAGTTTAAGTTTAAGAAATATTCTCGTCCACACCAATAAGCGATCATTATTGAGTGTTACACACACGAAATCGTCAAGTTGATCAGAATGATGTCTATTCCTTTTTTGTAATTGAAACAATTACCGCCGGATATTCCGTTAGTGACTTGCTAGTACTAGGCAAACAATTACGTCACAACCAGCAAGTCATCCTCTTACAAAATCAGAGTCGATTAAAACTTTGTTTACCAATTGCACACACTTTATTAGTAAATCTAGTCACTGTTACAGGCCCCCGTAAAAACCGTCATCGCTGCATTCGCTAAAGGCACAGTCTATATCCACAAAAATTGCCTGCTTTTTTACCTGAATTATATTCGTACCAAGCCCAAAATTTCTTTCAAGCATTGATGATGCTCTTTGACAACCGATTGTATTCCCGGACTAAATTTGTGTCAGCTGTAATCTGAATAAGAAAAGGTGCGTCAAATAGTAACATTTATCGATGTATAGTCGTACTGTTCAACAGGACTTGTAACTACAGGGGTCGGTATATCTGGGGATGGGATGTCCATCATATGTCATGTTGGAATAGTAAAGAAATTATTTCATTGACAGTACGAGACAACCTATTTGCGTATAAACAATAAATATGTGTCACTTTAACGTTATAAATTTTTAACATGATGAATGAATAATCTATGTAATATTATTTGTATTGCGCCTGTACGACGATTGTGAGCATCACATCATAAGGAATGTGAAAAGAGTTCGATCCCGATGTTGATGTATGACGTAATTGTTTGACATTTGGGAATTTTCGCCCATAATTCATATGCATTTGCATAGCAAGTCCCAACGGAATATCCGTCAGTAATATCGTACCTACAGCACAGTGATGATCGTTCGTTCGTTCAGAACATTATCGCTCGGGAGAGTCTTATTATCAATGTCTGAATATCTTTGAATCTTTGTATAAAGAAATGAGCGATTTTGTTGATTTGTCCTCGGGTCTTTCAGCCGACTATGAGAAACTGTATGAAAGTCGCAGATATACAGATGTTTCAATCCACATTGGAAAGGAACCAAATAGCAAAATATTTTTTGCTCATACGTTGGTATTATGCACGAGAAGCAAATTTCTTGAGAAAAGCTTAACGGGGAATGCAGAGTCGTCTGACGAGATTCACAAGCCTGCCATAACATTCACATTCGAAGATGTGACTCCTGACGTTTTCGAAATCTTGCTCAGGTAAGAATGTTAATATTAACGGCATGGGCACGCGTCATATGGACAATAATTATTCTAACATTCGTTGCAATTTCATAATAGATATATCTACACGGGGCGAATATCCTATGATGCATGCAAGAATATTGGTTGGATCAGGCTTATGGATGGAGCCAGAAAGTTTGAACTGCTTGATCTTCTCACTGCAATCGAAACTTGGTTGATTGATCAACAGGAATGGATTCAACAGAATATTTTCACAGTTCACAAGTATGCTGTATCTGTGTCTTCTTTGAACAGGCTTTTGGATTATTGCAATCGGATTATGATTTCACATCCAGATATTGTTATTAAATCAAGTGATTTTGCAATCTTACCAAAAGAAACTTTGATTACTCTTCTCAAGAATGATGACCTTGATATGGCAGAAGATGATGTATGGTTGTCAGTCATACAATGGGCCACTAAACAAGTTCCTGAACTAGAGCTTGCAAATGATCCAAATGATTGGTCATTTAATGATATTAACACAGTCAAGGATATTATAGCAGATTTTATACCACATATAAGAGTTTTCAGTATCACTCCTAACATGATAGCTCTGTATCATGAGTTATTGCCAAGAAAACTGCGTTATGATTTACTCAATCATCATATGGATAGCAGCTATAAACCAGTCACATGCATACTACCATCAAGAAAACATAATAATAACATTGATTCAGTTATCATAAATGAGCAGCAAGCAGAGTGGATTTTATCAAAAATCGTGGAATCAAAAACGAGACTTCAACAGAATAAAAGGGTCCCCATGGAGCGAGATGTTGCTTATAAACTTACTCTACTTTACAGACAAAGCAGGGATGGTAATACAGTTGCAAAATTTAGAGAATTGTGCAATGACAAGGGCCCCACAATTACCGTTGGTAAAGTATCAGATACTGGGGAAATACTTGGTGGATACAACCCAACCGCATGGATTTCTGGAATAATGTATGTTACCACTGAAGAAAGTTTTATATTTGCATTAGGTAAAGATATTGATAAGAGTATAGTAAGTTTCGTTGTTGATAATTCGTATGCTGTTCGTAATAATGAAGATTATTTTCCCATATTTGGGGATGGCGGCGCTGATTTAACATTTGGAAACGGCACATGTAGTAAACCTCGTGCTCGCAAAAGCGCATATCAAGTTCCAATAAGATCTTCATCAGATTATTTTGAATGGATTGATTGGGAGGTGTTTTTAGTAAAAAAACTAAGATAATACAGTAGTAAGAGTAGTATATTGATAATATTGACATGACAAAGATTTGACATTGATTAGTAATAGTTATCTGTATACAATGTTTTGGTATGAGAATTGAAAATTGATGATAATATTAACATGGCAAAGATGTCATTCATTGATAATTAACAATCAGGGAAAAACTGTAACGTTTACATCATTAATTGTATAGAAACATTAAATAATTACGAAATACAAAGTAGTCGTATACCTGGTGGAGCCGCAACGTTTTCGTTTTATCCCTGAACCAAAACAACGGCAAATTTATTGAACCATTGACTGGCGGTGCACAGACAAATACAGTATTACTTGTCTATTACTATGGAAAATTTCCTATTTACTTAACGATAACCCTCTTGATATGGTAATTTCCACCACGTGCTACTTCCGATCGACAGTGCAGATTGCCCTGAAGTATTAAACAAAGGATAGTTATTATTATTGGGCAATATTGATTTATTCATTGGTTTCGCTAACGATTACATCTCAAACTCTTACGCTGTTCATCATCGAAGTTTTTTGAAAACGCTTATGACTCAATAGTCTTACCTCACTATCTACATTTATTTCAACTTACTTGCATCGCATTCGTTTTACGTATGGTCAATCGGAATATTACCGGGTTTGGCAAAGCGGCACTATCCGTTCAAGCAGCATTTTTGAGTGGCAGGAACAACCGAGCAAAAAAAAGCCATTTAATAATGGAATAATACACTGCTAGTATTTCGCTACACCATCTTACTTTATGCAGCAGGCCAACCAGCGTCAAGTACGTAATTTTCTCTCCAGAATGCGTTTGCATTAATGATACATAAACGCAACACCTTATTAGCCAATATTTTATTCATTCTAGTCACATGTTTCTGCAGGCGCGTATATACCAGCCGCTTCCGACGTGGGAACGTGGGACACAAGAATGCCATGGTAATCGAAGAATATAGCCGTTTGTTGCCACATAAGACTAATATTTATACTATACAAATGTGTTTTGATTCTGCATTTTGTGAAACTAATTCAATAAGTTCTTATGTTCTTAATTAATGTATTTTGATTAACGTTTCGTTCTACTTTCGAGCAAATTAGAATATCACTATGCTTGTCGTACTTCGCCAGTCCGCCGGGCTCAGCACAACACAACTGCTCTAGCTATTAGTAAAATTCGTGTTATCTTTATATTTATATTAATGTTTTAATCTGCGTCGCAAATCCAGTCCTCATCGCAATAGGCATAGTGTCTAATATCACAATCAATGAGCACAACGTTTTTTATGTAACGCTCGATGCTGATATTGAACATTTTTATTTTTCTTAAATACTCATAATTGGATTTAGAAAAACTTGTCTACCGTATGTTTGCAATGACCCTTAACAATAAGCATAAATATTAATTTTGACTGAAGATAACAAATTTTCTTTTCTGGTATAATGATCAACAAACCCCTGCCGGGACATGTCCCATGCCTACATTATTAATAGAGGGAACATGCGCCATCGCATTAACAGAGGGAACATGCTCCACTGAATTAACAGGGAGAACATCTGCATCGACAGTGTCCGAATTCTGAGGGTATTCGATTTTGGCAGACGTTAAAATCAAAATTATAATAATAGTTATCGTCGCGCCAACTGGATAAAAAGCGAAAAGTACCACATGGACTGGTATGAGCAAAACTCTAAACAAGTTCAATGTAAATAATAACGCATTTGGTGGATCAAATGTAGTCACACAGCGATGATGTATCAATCGAATCGCAGCGAAAATAACTACTATTACTCCAACTATAACACTTGCACGAGCGCTTATATCGGATTCATCAATTAAAGTCTGCGTCGGCATCGTCGGCATCAATGCAAATACCACGAAACTAATCTACAAAGTTAAATATATTGCGTTAGAAAGTAAAATGTAATAGATATATGACGCCAAGTACATTAACAAAGTAAACTTACCCCAGACACCCAAAGAATAATCAGCAAAATTATGCCCAAAATAGCATTGCAATTAGTGAGTCGTGTACGCTTTAGTGTATATAATATCAATGTCAATATCATCAATATCATCAAACAGTAAGATGTCATCCTAACACTCTCCGTAGTAGTAAGAGTGACGTAAATTAAAGCGCTGTGTGTTTGTGGATTATAATCTTCATGAATATTTGGTTTGCCTGGGTCATTCAAATCCTTGATGCTTGATATAGCAAAGGTTAGAGCTATTCCGTTAATTAGTAGTTTAAAGATAGATAGAACGATGTCTCGGCTCCTTATCATATAGAAGAGTGTGAGCCCTGCGCCGATAACAGCAAACTAATAAATTTAATATTATGTAAAATTAATGAATATTCTCGTTAAAAAACGATCAACTTGCTACTGGCTTACCGCCGCTATTGCCCTTACACAATTGACAAGTGTGTCTAGTTCTGGATCGGGCATTTTGCAGTCAAGAACTCATTTCTGCGTTCGTCTTTGTCGGTTTAAATACTGTAAGTGCGTTTACACGTATGTAACACTCGATTGCTCTTTGTGACTTCAACATTAATGTCAAGTTACATGGTCGATCAAACAGACGCACCCCGTAATGTGTTACATCAAGTCGCACAGCGTTGCGGAATTATTCAATGAAAAAAGTGACAACTTACCATTGTTGGAGCAGCAATCTCATTTAGCAAAGATAAACCTATCGGAAGCAATCGCAGTCTCCTCGTAAACAACATGTCAGCTCATCGTTATTCAATCAATAGTTTGTTTCAAATTCTAGAATAACTGTTTATAATCGAACAAGATTTTTAGTTAAGAGGAGTTTTGCTCTTTTACTCTAGGGCTTAAGTCTTAACAGTGGCCTGTCTTTTGTAGTTTACTGTAATAACTCAATGATCGGAGAGTTTTGATTGTTGGAATGGATGGTATCCTAGTTTACGTAATTATTCGAGTGTTAAAAGGTAACTAGAGAGTTGGTCAGTCATAATAAAATCAAAATTATAAAACAAGTTCGGTAATATGTATTACAAGTCATAATTTAATGATATCGCAGTGATAATATCTACAGTGTGTTGCGTTTCAATAAATTTGATCTATTTATTGTTTCTGCAATGTTGCTTCATATGATAATTGGCCATACTGTAGTACGGCAACAGTATATTAACGCTAAGTACAATGTAAATTGCCTATTTTATGTTTCTTCGTTCTTCGTTCTTCGTTCTTCGTTCTCTCCATCGGCACTTTATTTATACATACGGTACGGTGTGCGTAATGGTACGACCACTCTCCACCCTATGGGGACCAACGTTTTATAAGTTTTTGTCTCTTGGTCCTTTTGAAAACATGCTATTCTCTACTTGCTAACTCATCTGACAAACTAATACCTACTTAAGATTTCATTTACTGTGAAAATATATACTCACATTGATAATGAATTGGATGATTTAAGTTCCCATTATTTATTCTTTTATAATAACAAAAAGTAAATTTAATTCATTTTTGATATTTCTTATCCGCATTGTCCTATTCTTATTACTCATAAAGGGAATCAATTTTCTTAATTCGAAACACAGATGACCATAATGGGTTATTCCTACCACTAACTTCACTCTTGATTACGGTGATCGTCACGCATAATATGATTGTTAATTTCGCTTCAAATAAATGTATTACCGTTTATTTTTCAAACACTTATTGCAACGTTGATCTATCCTCCCACCTTATCTCGTGCTTCGATATTGCTTGCCTAATTATGTTACGCTTAATTTGTATTGTCAAGTTTCATCAATTTGTTGCGTAAAATTCTAGACTCCGTTTCGTGTTACACTCGCTTCGTACATACTATCCCTTTTTGTATCCGTAGGTTAATTAGCTGTGTCCTAACATTAGCCATATATTTCAGATAAAGGTTGCACACCAGCAAATTTTTCAGAAATAATGTACGTTTAACGTATCGGACCTGAAGATAACAATTTAGAATTGTTTATTATTGGCTCAGTCATACAACCTATATTTATTTATTCTCATTTTAACTCTGGCAATAAACATTTACCTCTGTGATTGTTTATATCAGGAAGTAAAGTTTTAAGGTTGTGCAATATAACTAAACACCTTGTCAAATCTCGAAACAAAAAAGAAGTAAATATTCCAGTATGCTCTTACTACTGGAGGATTCAGCTGCAGATATGCAAATAGCCGAAATTAATTCATAATATCAAAATTGTCAATTGTCTTATCATTTAATAATTCAAAGTTTCAAATTTTATCTATACAAACGAGATGGACATGTTGTTTAGCCAAGTTAAAAACTATTAGAAAGTCAGGTCCCAGATTATTTGCCACATTATTACGATATTAAATTTTTTTAATTACATGCAAGCAACACGTTGTTCTTTCATAAACTCAACTGTCGAATTATTTGCTTCAACTAATTTATTTCTCAATTCTTTTTCTTGGGATTAGTTTGACTAATTTATTACAATGACGCCATTACGCCATGGATGCACGCACATAGCGGAATGGAATGAATTGACCCGTGTAACACTCAAAAAAATAGTTGATGAATCGGATTTTTATCAGGTAAATTATCTCACGCCGATTGTTCGCCACATGTAATGCTAGATAGACTTTCATATTCTTCTTCTGATATACCACACGTCCGAACGTGAGTCTACACCATCACTACCGTAAAACCCACCGCACAAATGCACAACAATAACGCTACATTTATAACACACGTCACGCAATGCGTAGATGGCAATGGGCATATATCTGTATTTCAATAACATATTTCCAACATACTAACATTATTGTAGGTAATAATTCTATTAGAATATAAATACATTAATTCTGTAGGAGAATGTCTCTTAGTAATAATTTTCTATAAAATAAATCTGATCAAGAGTAACATAAACTCTTCAAAGCGTTACTGCTAATAAAGTTTACCAAAAAGCTTAAAAAAGAAACAACCATAAACAGATCTCAGAAAAGTATTTCGACGAAATTATTGCTGAGAATAAAATTGGGAGTGGAAGCATTACTAGTAGCTAATATAAATTTGAGTAACTTGACTAATTCACTGTTATTGTAAACGGGAATAATGACAGAAATTGTCAACAACTTTTATTTTCGCTGAGATTTATCAAAAATTTTCCGGCTTATAAACTAATATCGCCAACAATTCTTAAGAAAACTGAAGTTTTTCTATCTAATTAACTTATAATAATATTTACCTTAATTCGATGTTAACCTGATTTGTCAATGATGGCATTCCATTCGTCATTTGCTTGTATCATTTCCCATATTAAACTTTCCTTGAATTACTTCTTCAGGAAGATTTTTTACGACCACTTTTATATATCCTTATATCCGATTTTTATATACTGCTGTAAATAAGGACCTCCCCACATCCCGCGACATCGTGAGTGTATTTATAAAAAAATAAAATTGCGTGCCGCAGTATTTTTTTTTAATACATAAAGCGAATGTGTTACAATAACAAGGCAACTGTCATGCAGTTTATTATTATATAAATTTAGAATTTTTAACTCACAATATCTCCCTCTCCTAGTGACAACCTTTTCTAGTAAAGTTTGGTTAGTTTACTAAATGATTAAAATTATCGTTAAATGTTATTAGTATATTTTTGTTTGCCCCGAAAACATTACAATTAGACTAATAAATGACGGTTATTAGTTCAGTAACCCATAAATAGCATTATATTTCGGTTTAGTGTATTTTACATTTATGTTTGTTGTAGGCGATTTATTCTAATTATAACTAAAACACATTACATATATTATTTTAATTTCCCATAACTACGCACATTTCAGAATATAAAAAATTTAGTTTTTTTCTTTTCGCCATAAATGGAAAATTATATATATCTAAAAGTATCAATAACACAACTTGATCAAAATGTCGACATATTTTCTCTTGATACCAACGCAATTATTTTCGATGTAAATACGGATTCATAACTTTCCATGTCGCTGCACACAATAATACGCCTACATAAATCTTCCAACGATAGCAATAATTATTCATACTAGCGTCTGCTGCATTGTTGTATGTCGGATTGAAATAGTAAAGACAACCAGGTAACAACATTATAAATCATTTATTGGCATTATGATATCAACCCTAATTGCGTATAAACAACTGAGTTTGTTTTAAATATATGCTACTTTAGAGTTTGTAAGTTTTAGCATAAGAAATAACTAATCTATATAAGCGCAAGTCACTTGTGATATTACCACTTGCATTACGCCTTTATATTATATCGTTCATATACACTTGATTCTTATTTCATGATACAATAAAGAGTATTACGCGTAACAAATTACTGCACTGTCGATCATGACAGTTAAATATGCTTCATAACGTTTCGTTACCGTCATATGTAATTATATCACAATGTAAACTCTGTCAAATTTCCAAACCCACATTTACATACGTATACATTGAAAGTTCAGAACGTTTATTTGGAAGACATTGCATGTATCAGAAGAATCGTATAACACATGTGATCAAAATAATGTTTATTCGCGCAAAACTGCACAATTCTATGACAATGCCCCAGATTTAGAAAAAATAGCTGAATTCTGTTAATTATCTTCAACTACCACTACCCGCAGAACGATTCATTCAATGAGGTGTAATTGAAATTCGATAAAGCGTACGTATAGTTAGTATTGACAAATTCTAAA